TTATTAAGGATCCTTGAATCTGATAAAAAAAGTTATTCATTGAAACCTCATGCAAAGAAAGTGTGTGTGTGTGTCTGTGTGTCTGTGTGTATTAAATGAAATACCTCTATATCTGCTCAAAATTAAAGCATACAGTGGAATAGTAAGGGATTCCATATGGAGAAAGGTCAGGTTGTGTCATACCAAGGCCAGATTTAAATCAGATTTGACATTTTGTTAATAGCTAGGTTCAAAGGTTTTGTGTCATCCTTTTGGTAGAAATAAAGCATATATTGTAGCAGCTGAATAATATATTGTAGGATCCTATAAATTTTATGTCTGCATCAAATCAATGCTTAGACTATGAATGCTTTTATTGAAAGTAAATATCTCACATAATTAGCTAAATTTTGTAACATTGATGTGTGATATTCTCTAATCTATTAAAATTCTTGTATGGGGACTATGCTAATCATTAATATTTTTGCAGACAATTCAATACATTTCCAAGAACAAGGTAGTCCAAACAGAGACAAGAGAACTGTCTTCAGTGAGCCGTGGCAAGATTAAATCCAATGACACAGACGACTGGAAGTATGAACAGCTGTATGTACCACCTTTGCCACCAACAAATCTTCGAGGATGTCATCTCATCAGGATACAATATGATGTCTTTGTGAGTAGAACTTATTATGGCATATTTAAAATCACAGAAAACCGGAACCCTATTGTTTACCGTGTATAAAAGATGTGAAAAAAGACGGTATACCAAATAATTTGTAAATATGCCACTTTTCTATGTAGTAGTCTACATGTTATGAGTTATAACTCTTAGATTAGAGAGTTTAAGGAGGTTCACAAGTGCATTTATTTCTTAATGTGTGTGAACTGCAACTAAAAGTATGAACCAAGCATTGATAATTCTTTATACAGCAGTAAATTGACTGACCAGAATTCATTCAAATATCAGTAGGTTAGGTGATGTCCATGTTAAATGTGCTAGCAACATATTGGTTTCTCCAGAAAGTGGTATTTTGAATATTTTGAGTGTGCTTTATGTTCATAGTCTATAGTTAAATTTGAAGTGTAAAGTTTTACATATTTGAGTAGACCTTGTGCTGGATATATAGCTAAACTAAAAATGAGTATAATAAATAACTAAAATGAGGTTACCCCTACTTTGTAATAAAACACTTTTCTCTGAATCTTTTTATTGAAAATAAAATGATAACTTAGGCAGATGTAAGAATTAAAATGGTGTAGTTCAATAAAAAATATTATTCCAAATTGTATTCTGTTCCAGTTCATCATTGAACCAAACAATCTGGAGAAGGACATCAAATTGCAACTGCCCATCATGATGGCCACCTACCCTTACCGCAACACCGACGGAACTTTGAAGAAGAAGAAGGGAGCTCAGTACCCAAGTAATCTACCTATCTTCAGACCATGGCTTGAGGAGAAGACCTTTGAATAATGAAAGTGTGAATTATACATAACCAGTGGAGGAAGGTGCTCAGCTCCCCTCTCTTTCTCACTTTTTGAACAATCACATGACTTTGAAGAGGGCAAAAAAAAGGTGAAATATCCAATCTCTGTTGTCTTGATGAGTGAATCACAAAAAAGGGAAAGAACAGTGTGATTCTGGAGGACTTATGATAATGTGTATAACAGATGTTAAGGTTGCATGTAGGTGTAGCTTTATAACAGTAATATCTAGTTATGAAACCATCTGTTTTTATCAATGAATTTTATCTCAGTTGTATGAAATAATTTTCATATATAATTCAAATTCACACTGAAATCAAAGAGAACAAAACATCTTGATAGCCTCCAGTGATGAGCTATAATATCACAGAGATTCATTTAAGTTTAGTAAGTCATTACTATATCATTTTGTTTACATATTCAAGTACTGTCTTTCACCCTCATGTTCTTAGGTGAACTTGAGTCTAAGAAAGCACTCACAATACTCTTCATAAATATCTTAATCCAGTGAAACCTGCATTATCATTTGTGTTTATTGATATCACATTATGTCATAACTAACAATGATTTTGTGATTTTGTCTATTTTTTAAGTATTTCACCTATGTATATATGAAAAACTAAACCTGGATAAAGATATGGCATGGAAGGGTTTCACGCTTTTCACCAGCTTCATGCAAAAGAATGCTTTGCCTTTTTGCATTGCAAAAAGTGCTTTATTCTTTATGGTGACAATCTTTCCATTAGTTTGATGTAACTTTCACTAATGCACAAGTCATTCTTATCTATAAATAGTTATCATAGTTATCATTCTTGATTTGAGACTAGTTTCTTTGTTTCTGTATAGTATTCATTAATCTTACAGATACTGTTTTACAGTTTTTCATATGAATGAGATTATTTCAGTTTCTTGTATGTATGAAAAAGCAAAAGCAGAGTTAATTAACAGACAAATTACTCAAATTATGCATTAAGACACAAAGATGATTAAAGGATGCTTGCTGGTGTTACTTTATTAATGTTGTAAATGGGAGTCTCTTCTTCAGAAAAGGGATTCCAAAGCTCAAAGTGAGTAATCTTGTCAAGGGAATGTCTTTTTCCAGTATGATGTATTTATTGTTAAAGGTTATACATGGTGGTTCCTTTAATTAAGTGTGCTGATCTGTTTGTGGTTGATAATAGAACTTCTGTGTAGGGAGAGACAGAATTAAGCAATTATAGCTATAATATGATTTAAACCACAGTTTAGTGACATATACTGCCTTGTAAATGATTTTAATGATCAGTTTATTGCAAGGCATCTCATATTAATGTTTATATCAACATATAACAGTCAACATAGATATGGTTTGCTCCATGGCACTATCTTTTAGGCTGTCACCCACATACCTTTCACATCTTTTGAAAGAGTGTGCTTTTGGGTGAGTATAGATATCAGATTAGTAGAATAAAGGGATCAAGTTGCAAAAAATACATTTGCTCAAAATCGAGCTCTTAAGCTTGTAAGCAATTTTGTCATGTATATTTCATGTGGCTTTTCCCTATGAAATTTAAGATAATTATATTCATCTCACCCAAAGCCACATTTAGGCCCTCTGTGTTCCCCTTCATACATGTGCACTAGCTCAGTCAATAATCTACGGTGCCATAATGACTCGGGCTGGTGTAATGCATCGTGGGACAGCACTTACAGTATGTCGTTACAAGAGCTGGCATGTCACCAGTATAACTTTTTTCTTCCATGTATAAATTTGTCATAGTTATTGTATTTCTAATAAAATGTAAAGACAAAAACACATTATTATTTTGTGTGATAACCTCTGCATTACATTGAAATAATAGGTAATGCAAAATTAATGGGAACTATCTTATCACAAAGCTTAGATTTTATAAGAAAATGTTTTCTCATGTTCACACATGTATCATATTTTCTATTGGGTGAAGATCTTTACATTCTTTAAAACGTATATTGCACTCAAAGTGCAACATAGGTTAATTATTATTAATGGATATATGATAAATTAAAGATATTATCTGTTTGCTAATGACCAAATACTACATAGATGGCGTGTTTAGTATGTAAAAAAGAAAATCATTGTCTGAATGCCTATTTTTACTTATCAAATACAATGGTAATGAAAAAAATAATGTAGTAATAAATATTTATTGAACAATTTTTCAGAATATCATGTAATCTATATGTGGCAAGCAAGAATAAGAGATATAATTCATACAGTTTATTATGCATATGGTTAGGCCTTAATCCTTTATTAATGAAAAAGAAAATATGGTCTGAAAAGATACACTTTGTTAACTATGTGGAAAAAATTGTCCAGTGTTCTTTCTGCTTTTTTTAATGTTTGGAAAGTTTTTGCTTATCAATGTAATCCAAAAGTGTTTAAAAAATCACCTCATATGCCCTGTAATATTGGAATACCATCACATTTATACAAAAACAAATTGTGATAAGCTGCAATACATCTCTGAATATTACAAGTATTACATTAATCTAGCAAGACAAAGAAATCATAAAATGAAATATCACGGATTATGAGCAAGTATATTTTGACTCAGCCATAATTACTGCATTACATGAGATGGAATCTGAATAATGTGTATTTCGTAGGGTTAGCCTTTGTCACTCTTAAATGTTGCAGATATACAAAAGCAAAAGAAGAATCAAGTCACACATCTTAGGAATATGTCCAAACAACATTGAAATCAAAATTATCTTCACTCTTTCAGTATCTTCATGAATATTAAGTTGTATCAACATGGCCCATATGACTATGATAACCTAAACCATGACAATCTTAAAATAAAACAACCTATTATATACTGATCTAGCTTTTGACAACCTCCATCCAAGTGTCATGATCCCTGTCCTTATGATATTAGCATAATATTTTTGTTTATGTACACACATACATACCAGTATATACTGTGCTTATACATATAAATCATATGCACATACATATAGTGTGTGTGTGTGTGTGTGTGTGTGTGTGTGTGTGTGTGTGTGTGTGTGTGTGTGTGTGTGTGTGTGTGTGTGTGTGTGTGTGTGTGTGTGTGTGTGTGTGTGTGTGTGTGTGTGCATAATATATATAAATATAAATATATATATATATATATATATATATATATATATATATATATATATATATATATATATGTATATATATATATATATATATATATATATATATATATATATATATATATATATATATATATATATATATATATATATATATATATATATATATATATATACATACACACATATATATATATACATGCACACACACACACACACACACACATATATATATATATATATATATATATATATATATATATATATATATATATATATATATATATATATATATATATATATATATATATATATATATTGATAGATATATATATATATTGATAGATAGATAGATAGATATAGACATCTATGAAGGGTGTACCTCAAGTTATATGAGGTATTTGTAGAGGTTGAAGAATATGATTCTGAGTTTACAT